ATATAATTTTTACGTTTTACTGCGTTTATATATATATTGAATAATTTTTAATATTATATAATTAAATTTAATAAACGACATTGCTCTTACGATCACTAATTATCGACGTTGACTTGTCAACGTCCACCCGGGCTGAGATTAGATGCTGGGTCTGTCACTATGTGCGCGCGAAGGTAACTTTCCTTGTTCAATTTGAACTCTTTTGGAAACCATTTGGATGTGATTTTAAACTAATTTTCTACTCCTACAAATACTTAACAGCAGAATACATGTTAGACACATCTCATATACATATTATACTCCAATACTCATCAATTATTATCATCAAAAGAGGAAAATTTATAATTTTTGTAAGAGAATTGAAGAGAACTTGCAAGAATTCAATCAAATGACAATTCAAACTTGATTTTTGGGGTAAAGAAGTGAATGTGCAAGTAGAAATTTATAAGAAACCATTTAAGATATTTAAGATTTCAAGATTCATCTTCTCAATTTATCAAAAATTCGGGTTATCTCTTTCCACTTAAATATGATTTCTTATAATTTCGATATGTTAGACTAGTTTTATACATTGTTAGGATAATATGAATCCTTATTATGATATTTTTAGTTTTCAATTAATTATTTTGACTTTAATTTGATTTGATTTGTGGATGTTTATTATTGTTTTTATCAAATTATTGTAGTTTTACATACTGGTGAGGTATTATCCAAGGAGAATTTAGGTCTAAAGGGTAACAGTGTGAAGAAACTTAAAAATTAATTAAGAAAAGGTTTAGATTGTAATTAAATAACTATTTTTAAAAAGAATAAATAAATAGTGAAAAAAAGAGAGAAACAAAAAATTTATCTTCTATATGACTCGTCGTACCGCCATTGCACCCCCACATTACCCACCTCAATTTTCCCTCTCGATATGAGGGGGTGTTTGGTGGATATTATTGAGTAAAGAATGTATTTTAAATAGTGATATGATAGGAAATAGGTGGTTAAAAAGTAAGAAAAAATTATTGATGTGATGAAAAATATTATTTTATTAAAAAATGTGTGGTTGGAAATGAGTTTTGAAAGAATATATTTTGAGAGAATGTGTGTCAAATAAGGGCTCAGAAACTTGAGAAGGAGAAATTCACCTTTGTTTTGTTGAAACGAGGGACACAGACAATGCGATTTTTCCTGAAGAAAGAGGAAATGAGGGGTGATGGAAGGTCTTGGTCGTGGTGCCATGCCATGAGGATGATAAGTTTTTTCTCCTCTTCTCTTTAAATTTTTTTAATAATTTTTTTTATAAAATATAAGCATTTATTTTAATAAATTGTTGTTCATATATTCGTTCATAATAGCGATTTTGATATTTTTGCGTTTGTAAGAGTAGCTTGTACTGTAACAAGCCTAAGCATGTGTTTCGTTCAAACATAAATTATTTATAAATATTCAAATCACTTTTTATTCACACTTTTCAAGGAACCCTTTAATACTATCTATTTATCTATCACTCATTTATATATACTAGTGTGAGCACGTGCAATGCACGTGTTGTATAGTTTAATTGAGTATTTAATAGTGTGGAGTGAGAAGGTTTATAGAAGAACAAAATGCAACAAGTAGCAGTTTCATCTATGGAAAATATTAAATGTCACAGTTATGTTAGGTCTTTGTACAGTGCAAGGATAGAGCTGAAAATTAGGACCATGTGGAAAGTGTCATTTACTTAAGTGTACCATTTAGATTAGTTTTCGCAAGATGAATATTTGTTAAATCCTGTGAAATAAACTGAACAGATGCAGAAAATACAGACATTGTTGGCTGCAGTACATTGGAAAAAATTTCAATCGAAGTCTAAACTGATATTATCAATATATTTTACTATCAATTAACTTGATTATACAGTCGTGCAGTCAATTTTAAGCTAAATCAATCCACTAAGCTGTACACAATCCACGATACAAGCTTGTCAAGCCACGAGTTTTTAGTTGCAAATTTTCTAGATGTACTGGGAGTCATACAATTTATGAACACCAAAAACAATTCATGCACTGCAAATCTACAGAAAGAAAAAAGGATTGATTATATTGTTTTCCCAGATTGAAGAAGTCCCTCCATCCAAGCTATGGAGGCCAGGAGAGATGCCTCTATCCAACTTAGAAAGGGTGATCTTGCACAGGTGTGATCTTACTACTCATATATCAAAATATTTTTTTACAATCCATATGTATTTTGTATATTTTCACTTTGCTAATCAATTGCTTTGATTTTTTTCTTTTGGCAAAGATTCTATTAGCTTATTTTTCTTAATTGTTTCAATTATGCTTGCACTTCTAGGTTGTAGCTGTGAATGATACAACGAAGAAAGTTGATGTAAAACTGATTCCAAGAATAGACTTGCCAGCGATGGATGGAGGCAAGGAAATGCTTCTAACACTGCAATACACCTGTTTCTTTGCATTTGCAGTTTTTAAGCTTGTCCATAGGCTGAAATTAGGCACTATATTAAGACTTTGTACTCCTCTATAAATTGAAGCTCCCCTGGAGAAGCTACTGCTTTTCTTGCAATATATTACAGTATTCATTAGCTAAAAATAAATGGACAAGATAAAGGAGGAGAATTTGTAAACTACAGAGGGGCAAAAAGGCAACATTTTTAAGTGAGCAACATATTCCTGTCTGGGCATGTCCTTCATCTCTTCAAGTTTTTGTTGATAATTTCCAACTGTGTTAACAACAGAGAATCATTTTTCTAACTTGTTAATAATAGCTGAAGACCAACAAGTTGTGTAATATTAAAACTGCTACTGAAATTGGATGGCAGTCGCTTGGTTTGTCTCACTCTCTTTCTATTGTCAATACATATTATAATGTTACATTTTTCTCCCTTGTTTAGTTACTAAATTTACTGATGTGCTGTAGATACATTATTTTTGAAGCATCAATATAACAAATGAGATCATAATAAACTGCTAGTGCAATTTTTTAGATTTCTATCAGTAAAACTGAAGTTCATAAAGCAGAGAAATATTATCCAACACACACCTTGAACCTTTCATGAGCCTCCTTCACTGCCTTTCCATCTTTGTTCTTTCTCCAATTATAGCCATCTTTCCAGAAGTAGCTCTGCACCTTCCAGTCAAAAAGAAAAAGGGAACCACCTGAAAATACATAAGAAAATTATCATAATTTTGTTTGATGCATAAAATCTGAAAAGAAACAAAGGGCATAGAAGGCACCAGTTTAGACAACAATTTAAATTTCTCATTTTAAAGCAAAATGAATAACGGAAGAAGAAATTCAACAATTGTTATTTGTGACCAAAACCAAGTGAATGAAACGGACGTATCTCGGTGGAGACACGGAGACTCCGTGTCTGCTATCTCTATGCAGCACGGAGATAGCTTTCCCTCCGCGTGCTATCTCCGTGTTGTACGGAGGTGCTATCTCCGTGCTACACGGAGATAGCACACGGGGGCAGTACGAAAGAGCTAATATTTGATTGAAGGAAAAAAAGCATACAAAATGAAAATTACAACACAGAAACTCAGCAGCAATAGAAATAGTATAGAGAGTTGAAGAACATGGGACATTCGGCTCAAAATAGCTATTGGAGCAGCAAGAGGGTAGTGTTTTTGCTTAGTTCTGATAAACTTATCATTTATAGGGATTTTAAGGCTTCTAATATACTGCTTGATGGGGTAAAGATCCTATCAAATCCCACATGACGATTTTTATGGTAAAGTGCAGAGGTGGAATGTCAGAGGAAAGGAATATACTGTTGAGGGGTCGTTTGGTGTTTAGTTTTTACTTCAATTTTATTGTGCACCTAACGTAATGATGAGCATTAGAAGGTATAATACAATGATTAATTGACGTATTATAAGTGCACAAGTACTAAAATAATATTGGGATAGAGCTGGTGTGTTGTAAAAAAAAAAAAAAAGACACACGACCCATGCATAGAGACACCGTGTCTCCGTGTGGCATGGAGACAGACATGGTGTCCCCTTTTCTTTTTTTTTTTTAATAACCAATAACATTTTTTTAACCAAATATTCGCCCAACAAAATCATCTAACCCTCATACTCTATACAGACTAAGTTTCCCTTGATGGTTTCGTAAACTAGACACGTCTACTCCATGCCATTAATTGTGCTAATGGCATTAAGTGGGTAGGAGATGGGTCCTTTACTAAAATGTACTGAAACTGAGCTCAATACCACCACTAAGTCAACTAATGGAATGAGTTATTGTGCTAGAGTAACAAATTAGTACTCTATATTGCAATGGCATTTGACTCAGGTTTTGTCACTCTTCAGAAAAGGGCACCTCGCCTTCTCTTCAAATGCATGTTTTCTACCATAATTGGAGAAATCATGGCAAGAACCAGTTGAAGCTCTCAGATAATGAGGAACTTCATGTTGGCTATTATTTGAAGAATCCAGGTTTTCAGTAGAGTTCCTTGTTGAAATGTCTTGTGGAAGAGTGATAGAGATCACAAATTTGGCAAAAATGTCTACCCAAAGAACTTTCAAAATAATACTCTAGTCGGTGGAGCACCCCTCGATTCAAATAAATCAGTAAGCCTCCAATCATACTTAATCATAGATAAATAATCACTGCTCTCATGCATCATATTTACCCTTGGTCATGATTTATCGACAAATGAGTTTATTTATTTAACATGTAACAATATATTACTATATGAAAATAATTTGCTATTATGTTGCTGTGTTCGAAAATATGAAAATGTTTTTCTTACCATATCATAATATCTTTTTGTAGTTGGACATGCTTCAATTTTTCTTTTTGGAACACAAATTAAGTTAAAAAGATTTCTAATAGACAACTATTACAAGATACCAGAAATTCCAGTGGAATCATTTATCTTATAGAAGATTAAATATGAATGCTAAAAAGTAATCTGTACAGTAATACAAGTTGACATTTGGATATACTTCTTTGCAAGGACAAATGCTTCTTGGGTGGAGACACCCCTCCATCCATGGATGAGGGCTACTTGGATAGAGACATGGAGAATGGATGGAGGCATGAAGAAATGCTTCTGTGCACTTAGATGGAGGCATGCTGAGTGGATGAGACATGGAGAAATGTCTCTGTCCACTCATGCTTTTTCTATGCCTTCATCTAAGTGGATGGAGGTAGGAAGAAATGCCTTCATTCACTTGGACGGAGGCATGAAGAAATGCATCCATGCATAAAGAAATGCCTCCGTAAAGAAAAGTGGACGGAAGCATTTCTCCATGCCTCCGTCCAAGTGTTCAAGTGGACGGAGGCATTTCTCCATGCCGCTCCATGCCCCGTGCATGAAGAAATGCCTCCGTCCAAGTGGATGGAGGCATTTCTCCATGCCTCCGTCCACTTTGATGGAGGCATGAAGAAATGCCTTCGTTCTAGTCAACGGAGGTTCCTTTATCATGTCTTCATGCCGTATGGAGAACAAAAAGTACAAACAGATTTAAGTTCTAAATAAATACTTACTGTAATAACAAATGGATTACCAAATATCACAGGAAAGAAGCATTATATATTAACAAGTATAGCCACCATTTCAGTCTAACAATTCTTAAAATGTTTATATAAATTTCAGATTCTACATCAGAGATTTGAACTCCAAACAACACTTCACCGAGTCCATTAGAGATTAAAGGAGGGGTTTTTTTATCACTATGAGAAATGGCGACAGCTGCTCGCCTGTAATTTACCTTTTTTAATACATAGCGATTTTAAAATATATAAATTTAACAGGATTTTAAAGTGCAAGGCATAGCGAAAAAATAGAAAATATATTTTATAAAGCAAAAATAAATACTTATAAATCTTCCTGATAAATCTGAGGCTCCACATAGATTGAGTCTAGCAATAATTTGAACTAAATAGCATATCCACTCAATTTCCTGTGCAATTTCAGCTGATTGGTAATATGAATGTTGTTAAGCAAAAATAATTCCAGAATGAGTAAAATGTTTATGTAATTTCAGCTGATTGTTGTTTATGATTAGTACTCAATAATGTTGAACGTGCATATAGAAATACATAAAGTTTAAAAGTTTAAATTTTCACAAATGGATCTTTTTAATTTCCCTATAGATTTCTTAATCTTAAATTTATCCAAAAAAAAACTTCATAATTTACTGGAAGAGTTTTAGACCTCAGTTTTTGAAATATATCCTACATGGAAATGTGAGTCCCTAAGAAGTTTCTTAATAGAAAGAAAGAGTTAAATTTACCTTAAAATAAACAGAGAAGAGAATCATAATGGTCTTTCTTGTCTTTTAGAATTTTCAGAAATACTTAAGTTCAACTCCTCCCTCAATTGTCTTTATTTTTTTTTCACCCTTTCATCTTCCAAAAATGACGAAAGATGAACCAGCATATTTATAGATAGTATTTAGTAGCCTCAACACGTCAAACACGTTTTCTTAACTTAGCAACTTCTACTTGTATTGCAATTTAGAATTTCAAACAAATCTAACCAATATATACAACTCAGAACAGAATAAGAGACATGAAAAATGCAAGAAAAGATGAACAACTAATAAACATTTATACATGACCATGTTCATCTGAACCACGTTGTACAACAAATAATCATTAGTGAGTATTACAGACAGAAAAAGGTAGTTCAATCTGCCTGAAGAGCTATTACACCAGTGGCAAACTAAGTCATACGATGAGTATTAACAGGTAAGGCATTGATGGTTCTGCAAACATGATCTACAATCAAATATGAGAATGTTAAGATGAAGATATATAAATAAAACACAAATGCAGGACTACAGCTTTCCACTGTCAAACAGATGTAGACCAGGTATGAATACTGAAATTCCTAGAGGAAAAAGAAGAGCACAACAAATATCAAATGTGCATTATGATTCTATGTCATGAGATTTCAAAAGTTTTCAACCTACCATAACCATCCACTTTGCTCTGGACTGTTTATGGGAACCATAGATGAAGGAAAAAAAGCATACAGAGCTTGGACGGAGGCATGGAGAAATGCCTCCATCCACTCATGCCTTCTCCATGCACATTTTTCTATGCCTCCGTCCAACTTAACAATAAGAAAAAACAGATTGAATAATCCTCAACTCAATGAATGAGTGAGTTCCAAGCAACTGCTGTATATATATTCACGTATTGTTACAAAGATAAGGCAGATGAAATGGTTACAACAAACTATTTTAAATTCAAAAAAGCTAACAACATTATCATATCTAATCTTCAAGATAAACATATGATTTATCTTTAATATTATCATAACTGATCTTCAGGATAAACATATGATTTATCTAACATGCCCCCTCAAACGCAGGGGTGGTTGAGTCACTCCAAGTTTGGACTTGAAAAATTCAAAACGAGATGAAGTTAATGCCTTGGTTAAACAATCAGCTATCTGATCACATGATGGAACATATCGTACCTCTAACGCTTTTTGTAACACCAGATCACGAATGAAATGAACATCTATTTCGATATGTTTAGTCCGTGCATGGAAAATTGGATTTGCGGCAAGAGAGGCAGCACCCATATTGTTACACCAAGCAATGGTAGTCTTAGGCAGTGGGATTTGAATTTCACTGAGTAAAGAACGTAGCCACATCAATTCAGCAGCTAAATGAGCCAAGGCACGATACTCAGACTCCGTACTTGATCGAGCAACAACATGTTGTTTCTTTGATACCATGAAATAAGATTAGTACCAAGAAAAACACAATAACCAGCAATAGATTTGCGATCATCGGGACTACATGCCCAGTCTGCATCAGAATATCCAATTAGTGTAATTCTCTCACTTGGTTTAAAATGTAACCCGTGTTGAATTGTCCCCTTTAAGTATCGTAAAACCCGTTTCACTGCTTGCCAATGAATAAGTGTAGGAGATTGCAAAAATTGACTTAATTTATTCACCACATAAGCAATGTCCGGTCTAGTGAATGTCAGATACTGTAGAGCCCCAACTGTACTTCGGTAAAGAGTAGGATTTGTCATGATTTCCCCTTCTGAAGCCGACAGGGGTTTGTTGACAACTGTTGGCGTAGTACAAGGCTTGACATTGTCCATACCAAGACGAGTAAGAAGATCTGAAACATATTTTGCTTGAGTTAAATAAATACCTCCAGAGTCACGAGAAGCTTCAATGCCTAAGAAATAATGCAACGGACCAAGATTCTTGAGAGCAAAGTGAGAATTCAAATCACATGTTAGCTTTGAAATAAGTTTAGTATTGTTCCCCGTGAGAAGAATGTCATCAACATAAACCAATACAAGAAGAATTGTATGACCATGACGAAAAATAAATAAAGAATTATCTGACTTAGCATTGTGAAATCCCCATCGAAGTAGTGTTTGCCTCAATTGATCAAACCAAGTGCGAGGAGCTTGTTTAAGTCCATAAAGAGACTTGTGGAGTTTGCAAATAAAATTTGGCTGCTTAGGATCAACATAACCCTCTGGTTGATACATATAAACATCCTCCTGTAAGGTACCATTTAAGAACGCATTATTGATATCAAGTTGTTGAATTGACCAATTGAAAGTAACTGCAAGAGATAATATAACCCGAATTGTGGATGCCTTGACAACAGGACTATAGGTCTCTGTGTAATCGATGCCTGGAGTTTGATGAAAACCCTTTGCAACTAGTCGGGCTTTATGTCGAGAAACAGAGCCATCGGGATTAAGCTTTAGCTTAAAAACCCATTTGTTACCAAGGATGTTGTAAGAAGAATTATAAGGTACCAATGACCATGTGTGATTTCGTTGGAGAGCCTGAAATTCTTGGTCCATAGCCTGCTTCCATTCAGGGACCTGCAAAGCAACCTTAACAGAAGATGGCTCAATTAACGGAGAAGAATCTAAAACATCTGAGCTAATAACCTCACCTGAAAATACCTTAGGCTTGAAAATCCCATCTTTGCTTCTGGTAGTCATTGAATGGGTAGGAATATGTGGTTGAGGTTTACGGTGTCTTATGGGAGGTGGAGAAGATGAAGCTAATGGGCTGTGAGACATAGGTGGGTTAACGGGTAATTCATGGTTAGAGGTATTTAGAGGTGGCAAGGACGGATTGGTTAGATGAGTATCTTCAGTCGGTATAGTTATAGGTGAATGATCTTCAGTTGTTGAATTTTCACAAGGGATGGGTGTAGTATGATGTTGTTGTGTTTCATTGTGTGAGCGAAGAGACTCGGCTTGCACGTTCGGACCTATAGCAGGAGAACTTGGAGATAAGCCATTATCATGTTGGAGAGAAGGATAGCTCGAGGATGACATGATGGGGGAAGGAAGACTAACCCATGACATTATCATATTACGAGGAATAGACTCGGACGAAGTAGTAGTCAAAAACCCAGATTGAAATGGAAAATCTAACTCATTGAACACAACATGACGTGAAATATAAACTCAACCACTAGAAGTAAGGCACCGATAACCTTTATGTGAATCACTGTATCCAAGAAACACACATTTATTAGTATGAAACTGAAATTTTTGATTTTGATATGGTCGAAGATAAGGATAACAGGCACATCCAAATACTTTTAGAAAAGAATAGCTTGGTTTAGAATGATGGAGTTGTTCCCATGGAGATTCATTTTGAAGAACCTTAGTTGGTAAACGATTTATGAGGTAAACAGCTGTTTGGAAGGCTTCCCACCAAAACCTTAGAGGCAACGAAGATTGAGCAAGTAAAGTGAGACCAATTTCTACAATATGACGATGTTTACGCTCAGCTATCCCATTCTGTTCATGTGTGTGCGGACATGGGTGTTGAAAACCAACTCCAACTTGGGCAAGAAAATTTGTAAAAGAGCGATATTCACCCCCCCAATCACTTTGAATTGTTTTAATGCGCAAATCAAACTTATTTTCAACAAGAGCTTTGAATTGAACAAAAGTGTTAAAAGCTTCAGATTTAGCGCGAAGAGGATAAATCCAAGTGTAACGGGTAAAGTCATCAACAAAATGTATATAATAACGAAAACCATGTGTTGAAGCAATTGGAGCAGGCCCCCACAAATCCGTGTGAATTAGTTCCAACGGTTTTTTAGTTTTAATTGTTGATGAATAAAAAGGCAAAGCATGGTGTTTTCCAAGTTGACAAGCATGGCAAAAATTTATGTCATTAGACTTCAAATTTTTATTGCATAAATGAAGAATACTGGAAAGAACTTGACGCGATGGATGGCCTAATCTCTTATGCCATAAATCACAATTTTCACTAGAACAAACATTTAAACCTTCAGGAGAGGAAATTAAACTAAGACTTGACAAAGATGAACAAAATGAACTTGCTGAAGAAGGTAGATCCAACTGATAAAGGCCATTTCTAAGTTTCCCTTGCAGTAGAACCTTCTGTGAAACCTTGTCCTTCACAACACAAAAATCAGAATGAAACTCAACAATCAAATTATTATCTGCAGTTAATTTGGAAATGCTCAACAAATTTTTTGTAATTTTTGGTACATGCAAAATATTAGTGAGATGTATGGTGGAGGCATTGGTATTAATTCTAGAATGGCCAACATGAGCAATATTCAATTTACTACCATTACCAACGATGAGTTTTTCCTTACCATAGTAATCAGACTTCATGGAGAGATTATTAACATCAGATGTAATATGATTCGTTGCACCGCTATCGGCATACCAGGCCGGATCCCCAACAACATCTGGCGTTGCAATAAGAGCTGATGTAGTATTGGCAATATTTGCATTTGCTTGATTATTTGGTCCATTTGCTTGATTATTGAAATTAAAATCAAACCTGTAGTAGCAAGTAGTAGCCACATGACCCACTTTTCCACATAATTGACATATAGGTCGAGAGTTATTATTGAAGCGGCCACCTCTACCACGTCCTCTGCCTCGAAAACCACCTGGATTTGGTGGTCGATTTCCTCTACCCTGACTGTGCTCAGAATAATAATTGGAGTTCATTGGTGTTGAACCCCTATGGAAGTGATTTCCCTGTTTGTTCATTGTGACAACATTAGCCGAAGAGTGAATGACGTTGTTCATAGCATTTAATTGTTCAATCCGACTTTCTTGAGTGAGAAGTATGGACTCAACATCAGACCAAGTGATGGTAGCCTTCTGATGAGTAATAAGAGAGACGGTACTATCATAGTCACGATCAAGACCAGCAAGAACAATCATTACTAAATCAGTTAATGGAAGGGGTTGACCAGCTACCCCCATTTGATCGGAGTAATTCTTCATCTTGGTGAGATATTCATCAATTGACATAGAACCTTTGACAGTCCGTTGTAGCTGCTGTCGGTAGTTAAGAGCATTTGCCATTGACTGATTAGCATAAACAGTCTCTAATTTATTCCACACCTCGTGTGAGGTCGACAATCCGACGACTTTTGTTAAAACTGATTCACTCATTGAACCAAGGAGCCATCCAAGTAGAAGTTGATCGATAGTAACCCAATCCTCATACTCTGGGTTAGGCTGAGTTACTGGAATAGGTGCTGCCCCATTCTCAGTTGTTAGAAAGGCAGGTGGACAGGGTTTCTTGCCAAGAAGATAACCATCTAATTTATGGCCTCTGATGACGGGAAGGACCATTGATTTCCAGAGGAGATAATTGTTGCGATCCAGCTTGATCACAAAAGCATGGTTGAGAGTTCCACCAAATGGTGATGAGGTTTTTAAGCATTGAACTGGAAGAGTTTCAGGAGTTGAGGAAGACATTTTTTTTTTTGCCAAAATGACGTTTGCCTTAAATGGCTCTGATACCAACTTAACAATAAGAAAAAACAGATTGAATAATCCTCAACTCAATGAATGAGTGAGTTCCAAGCAACTGCTGTATATATATTCACGTATTGTTACAAAGATAAGGCAGATGAAATGGTTACAACAAACTATTTTAAATTCAAAAAAGCTAACAACATTATCATATCTAATCTTCAAGATAAACATATGATTTATCTTTAATATTATCATAACTGATCTTCAGGATAAACATATGATTTATCTAACATGTCCTGTATAGTGAGCATTCTAACTACCATTACATTCCGCTTGGTTTGTCCGGTTTGGAGTTGTCACAAAAGGTTGCGCAAGCATGTGTTTACGGGTAACATAATCTAGCCCATGTTTGACGTCCGTCCTCTTTTTCATTTTCTTTCACTCTTTTCATTTCAACCACACATTTTATTAATAAAATAATATTACACATAAATCAAAAAAATTTCTTACTTTTTAACCACACAATCTTCTCATCAATCACTATTCCAGAATTTATTCTTCTGCAAAAAGGGTGTCAAACACTCACCTAATTTGTATCTCGGTTTCTACGCGAGTAAGAGAGACGAGTAAGAAATTAAAGAGTTTAATACTTTATTAAATAGCTCGTTAAGTGTTGTATAATACCGTATATAAAGATAAGATATATTGGAGGGCGATGTTCTATATTTTGTTTCATTGCTTTATTTATACATGTATACAATACATATGTACATGCACATATACGTGCATTTTTTTTTTCTCTCCCTACAAAAAAATTTCAGGATAACAAACGTCAAGAATTTCTCTTAGATTCGAACACATAAGTTTTCATTATTGTAAAATTGCTCGGTTTTCATTATTAAATATAATGTATGTAGTTTTATAATATACCTACATTTAGGGAAAGAACTAAAGATCAATTATATGCTGTTAAAGTATAATAAATGGTGCGAAAGAACCTCTCGATTAAAAGTTGATGCTCACAAAATTTCTCTCAAGCAACTTAGAAACTTATATTTCAAACAAAAGTATCTCTTGGATAAAAGTGAAAAATCGCTAAATAGTGAATAGGTGATTATCACGAAAATAGGTTATTGTTACGCAAAAATCTCGCAAGCGTACGAGTTCGTTGTACAAGTAATAATTATGATGAGTGAGTTATCGTCCCACAGGGAATAATGCTCAATTTTAGAGTATTCGATATATTTAAATTCGCAAAT